GCATTTGTAACATTTTATTAAACCCCTAACTAACTTCAGGTTATGAAGGGATCGTCTCGGTATTCCCATGTGAAAAGTTGCACCTCCAAACAACGAGGTCGTGGGACTTCATGGGATTTCCAACAACAATTGAACGAAGTCCTGTTGGTGAGAGCAACACGATCATTGGTGTCATTGACAGTGGAATATGGCCAGAGTCGGAGAGCTTCAGTGATGAAGGCCTCGGACCAATTCCCGAAAAGTGGAAAGGGGAGTGTCGCGGTGGCACAGATTTCACTTGCAACAGGTAATTTTAATATGTGAAGTGATCTAATATTCCTAAATATCTTGCATGTTGCTGCATTAATTACGCCCAACTTTCTATTTAGTGTTCATTTAGTAATTACCATATGTAATGTGGATACTAACACAACTTTATATGAATCCATATGGCAGGAAGATAATTGGAGCTCGTTCATATATCATGGGAGATTCGGTTAGGGACACGAAAGGGCATGGAACTCATGTATCTTCTATAGTAGCCGGGAACCAAGTGTATGAAGCAAGCTATTACGGTATAGCAGAAGGAATTGCTAGAGGGGGAGTTCCTTCTGCAAGGCTTGCTGTCTACAAAGTTTGTGACGAGGTCTCCTGTGAGGTTAGAGATATAATGAAGGCCTTTGACGATGCGATTTCTGATGGGGTCGATATTATATCAATTTCAATCGGTCAAGATGTTCCAACCCGCATTACCTCTGACCCGATCGCAATTGGTGCTTTCCATGCGATACAGAAAGGCATACTAACAGTTCAAGCTGCCGGGAATGCTGGTCCTAGGTTGTTTTCCGTAACAGGAGTTGCTCCATGGATCTTTTCTGTTGCTGCAAGCAATACAGATAGAAGAATTATTAATAAACTTCTTCTAGGGGATGGTTCAATTCTAGAGGTGAGTGTATTACTTATGTTTCCCTTTTGTCTCTCACATGCGCGCATTTAATTAACTGTTAATAATTAATTGGATGTGACTGAATTAATGTTGTAGGGTGCCTCTATAAACGCTTTCCCTTCCAGTCAAGAAGAAGTGCCTCTTGTTTATGGAAGACAAGTGACAAGCACGTGTTCAGAAAATGAAGCAAGGTAGATTTTATTTATTGCATGCAAAAAAGAAAAATCTCAAGGCATGCAAACTGCTAATCACATTTTAGTTTATAGGTACTGTCTTCCACGGTGCATAGACAATAGTCTCGTTGAGCAAAAAGTGGTTATGTGTGATAAAAACAACCACGTAGATTCACTAAAAGTAGCTGGAGCCATTGGTTGTATCATCCCAAATAACGAAAATAATTTCTCTGATATCGGACCATTACCCATTGGTGCTCTAAATAAAAATGACATGAACTTGGTCAAAACCTACCAAAACAATACCAAGTATGATTTATTTTCTATTTTATCTTTCTCTTTTATATGTAATTGCATGTTTTATATATGCTTAATGGTTATTCGTCACCTGTACAGAAAACCTAAAGTTCGAATTTCCAAAAGCGAAGCTATTAACAATCCAGCTTCTCCTCTTGTTGCCTCATTTTCTTCACGAGGGCCAAGCAAATTTATATATGATATTATAAAGGTACTTATGTTTTCCATCTTTTATTAACAACAAGAATATTATTGGAAAAGCTAGTGATTAATTTATACATTCCTTTAGAGGGCTATTACACCGATTTGAAAGCTAAGAGCTTAACTTGCATCGCTAGCCAAATCTTGACTGCTCCTAATGATGCTTTGAAATATGTTTTCGTTTCTGTATTTCCAGATCTTGACTTCTTTTTGCATATGCATGCTAGTAGTTACATATGAGTTGCCTCGAAATTTCATAACAAGGACAGAACCACACCCTTGCTCTTATTGTATATAAACTAATCGGAATGAATCCTCAAATTTAAATATTACATCTTGACCAGTTGAGCATGCATGCATTGAAAACATGATCCACCTAACATAAGTTAACCTATATATTATTACAGTCTATCTATAACTGTTTTGTATTTCATTTACAAATATTAACTAAATGCTTTACGTTATTAATTTTAGCCTGATGTAACGGCCCCTGGTGTGGAAATTCTGGCGGCGTTTTCACCAATGGCTTCACCATCGGATTCCTTTATCGACAAAAGCTCTGTCAACTACACCATCCGATCAGGGACATCCATGGCTTGCCTACATGTTGCTGCTGCTGCTGCTTTTGTTATGTCTTTTCACCCAAATTGGTCACCATCAGCAGTCAAATCTGCACTCATGACCACGGGTAATTAATTTCTTATCTTATCTTAAGCTAAGAATTTAACAAAGATTAAACCTCTTCAAGTATCTAAGCTTGAGAAAGTTGGATGAAACACCCGTCTTTTTGTTATTCATATTCTGTGTATTGTTTCTCTCACAATGCATTACTAAATTAATAAACTTTATAAAGCTCATCTGATTCCTTCTTGCTTATCTGTGTCGTAGCATGGGAAATGGATCCTATCCAGAACTTAGATGCTGAATTTGCATATGGGTCTGGACATATAGATCCGCAAAAGGCTAAAGATCCAGGGCTTGTGTATGACATCTCTGAAGAAGACTATCAAATGATATGGTGCAACATAGCTCATAGCGTAAATGCTAGTTGTCGTGCCAATTTTCCGCTTACACAGCTAAATTACCCTTCAATGGTGGCACGAGTTGATGTGAAATCTGCATTTGTGTTGTCGTTTCCTAGAACGGTGACCAATGTGGGTGATGCTAATTCGAAGTATGTTGCATCCATACAAGGAGACTCAAAACTCAACATCCGTGTAGATCCCAACATTCTACAATTCACTTCATTAAACCAAACAATGTTTTTCGTGGTGACTGTTGAAGGAAAAGGCATCAAGTCACCACTAACAATAAAGAGTGGGTCTTTGTTATGGACCAGTGATAAGCACAAAGTCCGCAGTCCAGTTGTGGTGTATACCGGGAGCGCTACAACTAGCAGTGGAGGCGTGTCAACACCATCAACATTTTGTAAAACCTACGTTATTCTTTTTGTTTGCATTATTATAGCCCATTGTATTTAGATAGTCTAGGAACTATATACTATTCATGTCATCAAGCTTTTATGTTAGATTTTGTATTTGTCTTTTCTCCTTTTTCATCTTACAGATCTAGATATATAGCTGATTTCTCGTTGAAACAAAAGTAAACTATCTCAACCGCCTGGCTAGCTTCATGATCATTCACTACTACAAAAGAGGTATCACCGACAGAATTTTAGCGACGGAAAAATCTGTTGGTAACAGAGACGGAATAGCGACGGATTTAAACGGATTATGAAAACCTAAGTATCATGATTAGAGTGACGATTTTTCGACGGTTTAGCAACAGAAAATCAATTCACATGTTACCGACGAAAATAAACTAGTTTATATGTCGTCGCTATTCCGTTAGTAAATTACTTAATATTTCTAAATTATAGGGGCAAATTGGTAAATATGAAGATGATAAAGGATTAAATAGTGAGCTTCACTTAATCGACTAATAGAGTTAATCGCCTGCACCAAACATAGAACTTCTCCCTTTCTCTCTCTCCGCGTTAATGACATCTACGAGAACACCTTCCTCCTCCTCCTGTCGATTATCATCGACCTCGTTGCTATCACCGCCACCGCCAGTCCTCAAGACGATCCTCTTCATCACATCCACTGCCTCCTCCTACAACCCAACCGACAATTATCACTTCTGAAACCCTAGTTTCCCCCGCCAAAACCCTAGTAACTCTAAATCCACGAATTCCACCGCTCCAAGTCCTTCCCCCTTCCGATCTTCCCGGACAGAGCAGTGGAAGATGTTATCTCTTTAAGACCCTCAATTTGAGACTTTAAACTATGTTAGGGTTTCATAACTCTTATTCAAATTAGAAATAATGTTTGTAATTTATTTTTATCGGTTTATTGACATTTTTTTGTAGTGGTTTCGAGATTCAAGTAAAATTGAGGAATCATGTATACTAGTCCTAGTTTCAACTTTGACTTAAGTTTCTATAAGACTCTGACCTAATTTCTATTTCTAGGTCAAGTGAATGATGTGTCTAAATGAGTGTATAAAGATGCTCGAGTCAATGAATGACCCGAATTTGGATAGTTGTTACTGTTAAAGTAGTTGTAGAATTCACATATCAATGTGAAATCTATGTACACTATCCATCGTTTCTAATTGTTTCCAAGTTTCAAGTAGGTTATGACTTAGCTTGTAGTTACTAAGTCTAAATGTGTTGTGCCTACACGTGCAACTAAGTTTATTCAAATCTAGAACAGTCTCGAATTTTGACGGTTGTCACAGTCTCCCTCAGTTGAAAGAACTTCGTCCCGAAATTCAATTCATGACGTGTTCAATTAGAGCTTAGTAGATACACGTACATAGTTGGAGAGCTGGTGAACTGAAGAACCTTTTGATCATATTGGATTAATTCCTCAAAGGAGAGTCAAATCCTTTAGCTATAATCAGGTTAGGGTTTCCTTAATTCGAGTTCTACAGTCTAGATTGTAGGAAATTAGGATCATGGGAATCATGATCTAACCATGACGACCTAGTCGAAAAATATTATCTAGTTAGATATTATCTAACTTAAAAGAGCGTTATAAGTTTTTCTAAAGCACAAACTGCATTGGGTGCTAGGTCTGCATTGATCCTTAGGTCGCATTCTAAATCAGCACTAAGTATAAATTCACTGCCTAATAAAGAAGAAATTAGGGACTGATTGCTCACTTCTGGGTTGGCTACTAAATCTGGAAAATATATATTCTAAAATAAGAAGGGGTGGCACGAATGAAAGAGAAGCAATCGAGGGGTAAATTCCTAAAGATACGTGCTAAGGATAGGCAACAAAGTTTTTGTGCATTTCAATTGTAAAGACTATTCAAGTGTCGTCTACACAATAAATTACAAAATGATTGATGATCTTCGAGGCTATATTTATTAATATGGTTATTCTTACTATAATGGAACCATATTCGAAGAACATATATATTTAAAGAGTCATTGAGGAACTTATATAGAAATATTTAGATTGCAATTTTTGAAAAATTGTTCAATTGTATAAGTCGAGACAAATACAAGTTTATGATGAGTTAGAATATTTATGAAAACAAGTTTGAGAGTTTAGGAACTCGCTGGAAATTGCAAACTAGAATGCTATTTTAAGAAAGGTGTAAAAATGTCGATCATTGAAAATAGTGCATTCTTAATTTAGTGGTTCTGCAAAAACAATCATTTAGAGGATAGATAATCGTAAAATTTAAAACTTTTGATGCTTTTTTTAAAGAAAAGAATAAACATAAGAAAACATATCATTCACATATATTTTCCGGATATAGAAAAAATGATAAGCATAAGGGTCGTTACTTTGTGTATTAATTGTAAGGAAAATACAATGAAAATTGCACTCTTAATCAAATTTCTAAATTTTGAACAAAAGAACAATGAAAATAAGGATTACTTGTTTACGGTAGGTTTCATAATAAAAACAAAAATGTATATGATAAGAGGTGTAGTTTAATATATCAAGATTGACTAAGTCAAAATTATGCCTCATGACTATACACATATTAATTGCTCAAAACGAAAGGGTAGATTTCTAGTCTTTATGTGTACGAACATGGTACCAAGAGAAGCAAAATAGACAAAAACAAAGTTAGACCATGTATTATGTTATTATTATGAGTGTGCGAGATTTCAAATCAGATAGAGAGCAAGAAATCAAGTACGGGGGAAGGAAAAGGAAGGTAGCAGCAGCGATGATTGCTATTGTTAAAATTTTAAGGACAATATATGCAGGTAAATTTAAAACTAGGTTGAGATATATTTCGAACTTCAATCCTTGATGTATGTTGAGTGTTACATATATATGTGACAATTTTAAAGTGTTTGCTAAGGTTTGCTAAAAATTCATGAGGTATCTATTACATTAAGTTCCATTTGTGAAAAAGAATAAACACTACAACTGGTAATTGAAAAACTGATAGTTTTGAGTTTCTAGACTAGAATCCAACAATGGTTAAAACGGATATGGTAAAGACTCAATATATTTAAAAGAATAATTGTATATTGTTGAAAGTGTGTCACTGGAAGTTTAAAAGTGAACACTAAGTTTTGCAATGCTTTAAAATTTATAAACTTTACAGATTATAAAACTAATTTGAAATATAAATAAACAAATGAGGTATGTTTTGAAATGTAAGAATTAGAGATGTCTTATAAACATGTTTGAAGTAGAATGTTGCAGATATATCATATTGAATTCAAGAGAACACATTTAAGTAAAGTACAATGCCTAAATGAGAAAGAGGTCAAAAAGAGTCAAAACAAACTTGTTTTGAAAAGACCAATGAAGCTTTTACTCATGTCATGAACATTGATGTCATATATTTAAGTTTTATAGAATAGAGTTTAAACACTTTTGTAAAAGAAAATGTTTTTAAGTTTTTTTTTCGAAAACGTGCCAAAATGGTAAGCAAGTTTTAAAATGGTCTATATGCCCTTAAAAAACACATCTTTCCATTGAAATGGATTTGAAATGAAATTGAAATAGCAAGTTTAAAACCAATATTGGGTAAAGCAAGTTGTCTAAAGTAAAGTTGGTTGTTTTTAGCGAGAAATATAGCTTACATTGTTAGGAAAGGTCTAGTAAGTTATATGAAACAGTTACAAATTATTGTACCTACGGTAGATAAAACCAGTGAAATAAAACAGGTTTTTGATTGAAGATTAAAAAGTAAGGAAGAGGTTGTAACACCCATAAAAATCAAGCAAATTTTAAACTTTTAAAATGCTTCCCAAATTCAATAGTTATTACAAAACATGTTTCCAAAATATTTATATCAGAGTATCCCAGAACAAAATCATCAAAATGAGGAGCGGTACGATCACACCTTTGCCTTGCCACGATCCCCTGATGTACCTGAAACAATAAACTGAAACTGTAAGCCCGAAAGCTTAGTGAGTTCCCCCAAAATACCGATACTCATACAATCCACATAACCATGTCAGCAACATCATAACATAACAAACTAAACAGCATGTAATGGGTCCACAACTTTACAGACTGGATTACCCCCTGGGCCCACAGTGTGAGTCTGGATTGCTTCCGGCCCACAGCTCACATCTGGCTTGCCATCGAGCCCACAATACGAGTCTCCCTTAGCCCGTAACTGGAATGCTCCCGGGTTTGTTGGATTACCGCACGAAGCAGTCTCACCTGAACCCATCCCACATCACGTATCAACATATAATGACATAACTACTGAGCATGCAGATAACATATAATAACACAGGTAGTCCTACATGCCTGCCTAACTGGCATAACCACTAGCATGCAACGCTAACTCACACTCAACATCTAACACTTCTAGGATCACATATCCAATGGGCCGGCCTTGGTGCCTTAGACCCCTTAGTATAGTGAGGATAACTCACCTCGCAAATGCCGACTCGGTAGATAAACTCCAACTCTCGGATCACTGCCACAAACTCCACCACCTATTATCATAATATAACCATACTCGTAAATTCCCAACCCTTCAAGGTACCCCATAAGTCAACTAGTCAACCCCTGGTCAAAGTCAAAGTCAACAGTCAAGGTCAACAGTCCGTGTTGACCTTGACTTGCCGAGTATCCTCGACTACTCGTCGAGTTCCTCGACTACTCGTCCACTCGCCGAGTCACTGGAGTGACTCGTCGAGTTCCTAAGGTTCGCGATCGAAGCTCTAAGTCCACTCGTCGGGTTTTTCCTTCTTGCAACTCGACAAGTTCACACGCATCCATCAATTGGGGAGACCTTAACCGACTCGCCGAGTTGTTCATCCAACTCGTCGAGTCTACGGTAATCTTCTTCGGACTCGCCGAGTTGTTCATCCAACCCGTCGAGTTCGATGCCCATCTTCATATGACTCGCCGAGTCGACTATGCGACTCGCCGAGTCCCTTCAGTCCTTTAACCATGCAGACACTTTTTAAGCCATGCCAAGGCCCCAAATTGCAGATCCAACTTCCCTAGGCTTGCTTATCACGTAAAGTTGCAAAC